TCATCATCATCATCATCATCATCATCATCATCATCATCATCATCATCATCATCATCATCATCATCATCATCATCATCATCACCATCACCATCATCATCATCATCATCATCATCATCATCATCATCATCATCATCATCGTCATCATCATCATCATCAGCATCATCATCAGCATCATCGTCATCAGCATCAGCATCAGCATCAACATCATCATCATCATCATCATCATCAGCATCGTCATAGCATCATCATCGTCATTATCGTCGTCATCGTCGTCATCGGCATCGTCATCATCATCGTCATCCTCAGCATCAGCATCAGCATCAGCATCCATCAGCATCAGCATCATTCTCATCACCATCATCATCATCATCATCATCATCATCGTCATCATCATCCTCATCCTCATCCTCATCCTCATCCTCATCCTCATCCGGATCCTCATCATCATCAGCATCATCAGCATCATCATTATCATCATCATCATCATCATCATCATCATCATCATCATCATCATCGGTATCATCTGCATCATCAGCAGCAGCAGCAGCAGCAGTAGCATCAGCATCGTCATCATCATCATAATCATCATCATCATCATCATCATCATCATCATCATCATCATCATCATCATCATCATCATCATCATCATCATCATCATCATCATCATCATCATCATCATTATCGTCGTCGTCGTCATCATCGTCGTCATCGTCGTTGTCACCATCATCGCCCTCATCATCTCCTTGCCTCTGCCCTCCGCATGTCTCTGTTTCGGTACACCCAGCACAGCGCTTCGTGACCCCATAGGGAGCTACACCGAAGGCCTCAGCGGCAGGGTTCGCATGGCGGCCACACCCCCTTTCGGCGCAACCCTCACGGGGATCGCGGCCCGATAGGAGCTCCACCGAAGGCCCAAATGGCAGGGTTTGCATGACGGCCTCGGGCCATTTCGGCACACCCCTCACGAGGCTCGTGGCCCCAAGGGAGCTCCACCGAAGGCGCCAGTAGCAGGGTCCGCATGGCGGCCTCGGGCCATTTCGGCGCACCCCTCACACGGTTCGTGGCCCCATAAGAGCTCTACCGAAGGCCTCAGTGGCAGGGTCCGCATGGCGGCCACGTTCCATTTCGGCGCAACCCTCACGAGGATCGCGGTCGCGGCCCGATAGGAGCTCCAGTGGCAGGGTTCGCATGGCGGCCTCGGGCCATTTCGGCGCACCCCTCACGAGGATCGTGGCCCCAAGGGAGCTCCACCGAAGACCGCAGTGGCAGGGTCCGCATGGCGGTCCGGACCATTTCGGCGCACCTTTCACGAGGATCGTGGCCCCATTGGAGCTACACCGAAGGCCACAGTAGTAGGGTTCGCCGCAACCCTCACGGGGATCGCGGCCCGATAGGATCTCCACCGAAGGCCCCAGTGGCAGGGTCCGCATGGCGGCCTCGGATCATTTCGGCACACCCCTCACGAGGATCGTGGCCCCATTGGAGCTCTACCGAAGGCCTCAGTGGCAGGGTTCGCATGGCAACCTCGCCCCATTCCGGCGCACCCCTCACGGGGATCGCGGCCCGATAGGGAGCTCCACCGAAGGCCCCAGTGGCACGGTTCGCATGGCGGCCTCGGGCCATTTCGGCGCACCCTTCACGAGGATCGTGGTCCCATACGGAGCTCCACCGAAGGCCGCAGTGGCAGGATCCGCATGGCGGCCTCGGACCATTTCGGCGCACCCCTGACGAGGATCGTGGCCCCATGGGGAGCTCCACCGAAGGCCCCAATGACAGGGTTCGCATGGCGGCCCCGCCCCATTCCGGCGCACCCCTCACAGGGGATCGCGGCCCGATAGGGAGCTCCACAGAAGGCCGCAGTGGCACGGTTCGCATGGCGGCCCCGCCCCATTTTGGCGCACCCCTCACACGGTTCGTGGCCCCATATGGAGTTCCACCGAAGGCCAGTGGCAGGGTTCGCATGGCAGCCCTGTCCATTTTGGCGCACCCCTCACACGGTTCGTGGCCACATAGGGAGCACCACCGAAAGCCCCACTGGCAGGGTTCGCGAGGCGGCCCCGCGCCATTTGGCGCACCCCTCACACGGTTCGTGGCCCCATAGGGAGCTCCACCAAAAGCCCCACTGGCAGGGTTCGCATGGCGGCCCAGCCCCAGTGCGGCGCATCCCTCACACCGTTCGTGGCCACATAGGGAGCTCCATCGAAAGCCCCGATGGCAGGGTTCGCATGGCGGCCCCGCACAATTTTGGCGCACCCCTCACAAGGATCGTGGCCCCATAGGGAGCTCCACCAAAGGCCCCAGTGGCAGGGTTCGCACGGCGGCCCCGCCCCATTGTGGCGCACTCCTCACGCGGTTCGTGGCCCCATTGGGAATTCCCACTGTTTCGTCCCACCTGCCCTGCGGTTCGCTCACTTGCGCATGGTTGGGTCCTTCGCCTGGCTTATCGGTTTCCTTTTTTGTTAAACGTGCACCTACAGCGCACACCTACAGCGCACCTTCA